AAGATCAACTACCAGAATGATGGCAAGACAAGAGAAGGAAGAAGGGAAGGAACTGCTCATGATCCAAAGCACACCACCTCATCAGTGAAGCATGGTGGAGGTACTGTTATGTCATGGCCATGTATGGCTGCCAGTGGAACTGGTTCTCTTGTATTTATTGATGATGTGACTGCTGACAAGAGCAGCAGGATGAAAGCTGAAGTGTTTGGGGCACCATTATCTGCTCAGATTCAACCAAATGCTTCAAAACTCATTGGACGATGCTTCACAGTGCAGATGGACAATGACCTGAAGCATACTGCAAAAGCAACCAAAGACATTTTTAAGGCAAAGAAGTGGAATGTTCTGCAATGGCCAAGTCATATCATCTGACCTGAATCCAACTGAGCATTCGTTTCTCTTGCTAAAGCCAAAACTGAGGGCAAAACACCCAAAACACAAGCAGGAAGTGCAGACGGCTGCAGTAAAGGGCTGGCAGAGCATCACCAGGGAAGAAACCCAGCATCTGATGATGCCTATGTGTCCAACACTTGAGGCAGTCATTGACTGTAAAGGATTTGCAACCAAGTATTAAAACTGACTGTTTAATTGATGATTATGTTAGTTTGTCCAAATACTTATGAGCCCTTAAAGTTGGGGGACTGTGTGAAGAAATGGTTGTAATTCCTACACGGTTCATACTACATTTTTGAAAAAAGCCTTAAATGAAAGCTGAGAGTCTGCACTTTAAGCAGGTATTCATTGTTTCATTTAAAACCCATTGTGGTGGTGTACAGAGCCAAAATGACGACAACTGTATCATTGTCCAAATAATTATGGACCTGACTGTACAAGACAAACAACATAATATGAATAATGAACCTAGAAAATGTACATCCCCACACAAAAATCAGTACTTGCACAATCATTGTCTTTTTAGCATACCTGTATTCTTTAAAACATTTTATCTTTAGCTTTTTTCCTTTAATAAAAGGATGCACCTTTGACATTAAATTAAAGATTCAAGAAGGTTATTGTCATATGCACAGTAGAAAACTCAGCAGTTGGCACTGTACAATAGACATGCAGAGGTCCTTCACATGTAAGAAAATTGGATTACAGGCCCTTTTTAATGTGACAACAACCCCAGAATGTCAGAATCAGAAAAGGCATTATTTGTTGCATGACATATGCATGTATCAACAGAAAAGGAAGATACTTAATAATTGGGTAAACTGTTGAATTCCATAATAAAGAAATGATTGCAGTCACTTAAATGTAGCTGTAAATTTTACCTGAGGTGTTTCCCTCCACAAGTACTTGGGATCTGTGTTATTTGTATTTTGCAAACAGAAGCAGACAGAATGTCATGTTACATCATTATCTGAGACAAATCAAGTGACAAGTATAAAAAAGCAGTAACACAACGGATCTCCTCAACCACAATGTTTCACTAACCCCTTACGAAATGTTGTTAGCAGTAACAACTGTCAATATAGAGCACTCTTCACTTATGAAGCAGCAGTTTCCCATTTGAGTGGATGTTTTTCTTACCTTTGACCGTCAACCTTTGTCAAGTGAAATGATGGATCCAGTGGCTGACACCAGACTGCCTCTCTTAATAAAGGTTGTTAGTCAGCCAAATATGGGGATGCATATCAGAGAAATGGCATCCAGGTTTCCTTTCACAAAAAGCATTCTCCAAATTGGGTAGAGCCATGGGCTGCTATTGTTGCTCTCACCTTGTGAACAAGAGACTAATACGATAGACTGGACATGACAAAGAAAGGGGAAGGCAGGAGGTGGGGGAGAGGGGACAAGCTGCAATCTATCAAGTAATTCTCTTTTGTCTCCATAAGTTACATAAAGTAGTTTTGGAATGATAATCAACATCAGAATATCTAATGATAATTAAGTTTACTTGATACTGGAAATTTGATTATTAAAAGTTTCTATGCTTTGATTGAATTACATAAATCAATGCCTGGCAAAACTTTCAAAGACATCATTATTATAAAAGGGACTAGAGAATCCCTTTCTATCCACAACACTCAAATTAATTGTGATCCAATTAATTATTAATCTGTATCATGATCAAGACATGATAGGTCCTATGATACTGTATGCTCCAGAACAGCACTAATGGCACATGTTCTTTCTTAAAATACATTAATTCAAATGCTTGTAATTAAGGGCCATTTGTTAAGTAGAAGTTAGATCCACTGTTCTATATTATAATGGTGGTCCTATTCATATTTTATCATAGACTGTGCCTCTATAGTGTAAATAAAGTAGGCACGCAGGATTTATGTGACATCAAACATCTCGAGATCTGACGTTCAACAATAGTCCGTCAAGTGATAGGGTGTGAAATACATTTCAAGAGGGAGAATAAAGAGCTGCAGCTGTTGTCTACAGATAGGCAAGACAAGGCCAAGGTCACAGCTGTGAGATCCCTTTTTCATCACTCACCACTGTTCACAGATATATGCCTATCTATATCTAACCCTGGTCATTTGGCATTGTGTCCTTTCTTTACCATCAATAACATTGTTCAGACACTATGCAATCCAACTCCTGGTTATATTACATGAAATTTCAGTTACTTGAGCTGACCTTTTGAGACAGACACTTATCAATGACCTGAACCAGGACTGCAAGCACATGGGCTTTTAAAGTCAAGACCATTGAAATAGTTAAAAAGCAAAATCTGTAGGAACTTTCACTGACAATGCTCTCCTAGGATGTCAATACAGATATCCATCTGCAATACCCACAGTCTCTTTGGATCAGACACTAATCTAGGTACTGGATGTGGTGAGAGAAAGACAACAATCACTCCCTTCTATCAGTCTTTTGTAGGCAGTTTCCAGCATTGTGGTTTAGGTCTTTGCATTACATATATGTAGAAAATAGTATAAAAACAAACCAAAATGTAAAGTATAAAGTAATAAAGCTAGATAATTGTATTGCTATTTGTAATTGTACTGTATATGATGTACAATTAAGGTGTCAGATGTTGCAATTGTACCCTAATGTGTGTGTGTCATTGATAAAACAATTTACCTGGCCTGTGCATATAGAAAAATATAGATAAGGCAGCCCATTCTTATTCCCAAGTCATCAAATACTAAGGCTTTGTTATGCCCCTCTGTGTGGGATCCTAATGCCAAAGGCATCCTTTGCCGTCTCTATGACACACACTAGGCTTTCATCTAACTCTAGTGTAAACCCATACCTTGCAATATTTGATGCTCAGAGCAACTGTAATAGTATAAAGAGCAAGGAAGTCTGCGTATGGAGGGAGGGATTGTGAATGGGTCAAAGACAGGACTTTCACCCAGGAGAGTGAAAAAGATTGGTTGCATCATTAGTCCTTTTTTTAGGGTCCTAACTATCAGGATAACAAGACATAAAAAGTGCTCTACTATTATGTTAGTTAGAAATTAAGTAACTTCAATAATAATTTTATTTTAATTAGTTCAGCATTGAAAAGAGCCTTTACTTTATTGTTAAATTTGGTAATTGCCACATACTGCCACTAAAGAACTGTCAAGTTAAGGGTGACAAAATGCTAGATGTGCACATGGTTTTGCAGATGATGTTATCTTCTTTTTCCTTTGATGTGCAGTATTTATCATCATAACCATTTTTTATGTATTATGAAGGCAGTGACTGTGTCTGTGATGTCTTCATATAATTTTAGGGTGTATATTTATTCTGATGACATTGAAACAAAGTTCCCTTTTTTCTTTCAAGCATAAAATACCCTGACTATGCAGAACAGATCAGTTCAAGATCAAATCAAAAGGTTTTATATGTAAAAAAAAAAATAGGTTTTATATGTAAAAAAAAAGTTGTCTGCTCAAATTAGCACAAACTAGTCATGTTTTTAGTTATCATTAAAGAATAAAAAGATAGTTTGACTGCAGTGTTGGCAGTTGTATTTTTAAAATCAGAATTTTAAATCTCAGATGTTTCATTTTTTCATTATATTATCACCTCTGTTTGATTGCTCCAATACAGGTGAATTTCCATTTTTAAGAAAAGAGTAACAATTTATCAGAATGAATATAATAAATAATAACCCACATACACAACATATATTTGTGTACTGAAACAAATTCATATTATTGTGACTATACTCCAGGCTTCTGTCCAAAAGTTGCCTGTTGCAAGTGCCCTTGGCCTGCTTCTGTTGACATGGCATTGTTTTCTTCTCTTTATCCTTGAGCACAAAGATAACTTGTGAAATTCCTGCTGGCTGCCTTTGGAGGCTTGGTGGTTTAGAGGACAGCTTGGGGACAGCTTGTGACGCAGGTAGTCAGGACAGGCTTTTATTCTTTCTTTGATCAGCAGCAACAGGTGATGAGACGAGAAACCTATTTTGCACTGTATGTATGTATATGTAGTGTAATACTGGATACTATATCTTGATGCAAGAATATGCTAAATGAGTCTGTATTCAGATGAAATTTTAGAAATTGCACAAAACTCAAGTGTTCCATACTATGAAGGACAATGAGGCCTATCAACCTGAAGCTACTATGAATGATGGCAACCAGGAGCTTTCTTAAAAATGTAATACGATTTTCTTGGCCTGACACAGTTAGGTATTAGGACAAAATGAAACTCTTGTACAAATACAATCCTACAAAGCATGCTGGCCAGTAATGCAAGTGGAACCTCAGCTGTCTTCCTTTCTATGAGATCACATCTCACCAGGTCTTGACTGTGCTTGCTTTCAAACTAGAATTCTCGTCGCCTTTAAAGGCCATCCATTAAAGGTCTCATTCCCAGCTGTCCATAGTCCTTGTGTCTCTGACTTTTACAATCCCATGAACACGTGAGGGAAGGTGTGAGGCACCTTGCCTCACTTAAGTTTGAAATTAGAGCCTGCAAAGCTATTGTTAGTATTTGTTCTTTGTTGTAGTGAAAGGTCCCTTCTAAGGGGGTGTTGAGCTCTGGTGGAGGCAAGGAGTTGACTGTTCTCTTGCCTTGTCTTCTTCCCACTAATTCAGACCGTGGACCTCCGTGTGGACTCAAATCCTGAGTACTGCTTGTCTTCTGACCAGGACATGACAAAATAATGGAAAGGTACTGTTGACTCTTTAAAGCTTTTATTGTTCACTTTTTTCAATGCAAAACTTGTAATCTGTTGGAAAATCTTCTAATTTGGAAAACTGATAAACTGTTAATTTTGCCACAATATACTCTTAATGCCAATGTCCTATATTGATTATTGAAATGGTATTTATTGAATTCTTGGAGGACTCTATTCCTGAATACGCTAAATCCAGATTATCTGATGTCAGTCAGACATCTTTGTCAAGTCCGCCTCTTCTCTGTGTTCCAAATGGCCCTCCCTTGTCTGGCTTTGAAAAGAAGATGCTTGTTACCAGAGAAAGACTGACCCCCACTACTGATATGAAGGTTAGTAGTTTCAGCTTAATTAATTTAGATCATTTGACATTTAGTCTGTAATCTTATCAACATAGAGGGAATGTAAATGTTACATCTATGTAAAAAGCAAAGGTTGGGTCACCCCTGGATGATGTGAAATTTTCTGTCCAAAAGTTTTGGTGAAAACAATTTTTTTAATTTAATTTTTTTCAAATTTAAATGGGTGAATGGTTATTTTTTAAGTTGCAGCTACCATTCATAATAGTAGTTTAACAGTAGAAAATTTTGCTTATGTAGTGCACACTACACTACTCCATTTTTTATAGTATTATTTTAGTAGTTTCAAAGGGATTATTGATAAGGTTTTTGTTTTACGATGTCATACATCCACTGTTATCAGACCTTTCTGCTGTGGTGTTTCTGTAAAAACCTGTCGTAGTTCATTTGTTAAAAAGCGTGTGCACTACTATTTTGTATACATTCATTTCGCTCATGTTTGCTATCCAGATCCTCCACTAATAATCCCAAACATTCCACTTTTGCTAAAGAACTACTGCAGACAACTGCAATGTGTCCTATGCAGTGGGCATGTCTCCTCAGAAAAGCTGTTAGTCAACTAGTCAAGTAAACTCTGTACAAATATGTGTGCAGTTTATTGGTTGGTTGACCCATGTAATATTGAGAATGGTCCTAGCAGACTCTGCTGCAGTACTCTGCCTAGTCAGCCTTTTCAGTGAGGGACTGAGGCAGCATCATTCTGCAGTCTCTTCTTCTTATCACACTGTTACTTATGAAGCCTCTTCAATACTATTTATTTCACATTTTTTACAATCTGATTCAAATCCAGAAACCTTAAGAAGCATTTTAATTGTTGTATTTAATTTGGAAAAAATACTTTTTTTGTGTTTATTTTTAATTGGCATGTTTTAAGAAAAATAAGTTGTAATACTTGAATTCTAAAGAAAAGGTAAAACCATAAACATCTTATTAATTATTTACCAGCTCTGTAGTATGATCAGTATTAAAATAGCGCAATTGGTGTTATCAGCATGTAAGATTTAATGAAGAGAAAATGCGTGAGCACACTCTGCTCATCATGATGCTGAGTTACTTTTGCAACATCAGATAAATGAGGTTGAAAAAAGTCCAGTGTTCGCTGATAACAAATGTAGTAAGTAAACAGTGGAGTAGTTTACAGTATGTTCTCTCCTACGAGACACATAGTTTGAAGCCACAAAGCATTATCCGCATTGTTTTTTGTTTTGTTTTTGGTTAAGATTTACATGATGGGAACAGCTAGAGTGAACATGATAGTACATTGTCTTCACTGAGACAATTTAATTATATATGTAGTAATACATGTAGACCCCTTTTTTAGTTTTCAGGATCATGATTCATTTTTCCTTCAGGTGAATTGTTGGCAGTGTTTTTGGCATCGTGGCAACTATTGAAAATGTTGGCATTGTACATTTCTGCAAATCACAGATATGTTATATTTGCACCTTTCATATGTATCATGTGTATAATGATAAAGTGACGTAGTAGATGAACTGACTTTGTCATCAGGAGGTGAAGGGGATGGAGGATGACGTGACAGAGGCGAGATGTCTGCCAAGCTGCAGATCATTGTTTGAGAGCAACAAATAATAGAACTGGTTGTGATATAGCGAGTCATTGCTACGTTTCCAGCAGCTTTTTAGGCATGGAAACAGGGTTGGAAATCAACACCAGCCACCAGCCAAACACTGGTAACATGTGCAAATAGCTGATAGATTTGCTTCACTCACCAGTAAAATAAACAGTGGTTTTCTATTTAGTGGCAGGTAGTGGTTTTTGAAATCCACCAGTCACAGTTGCAGACGGACAAAAGTGTTCATTTCCAGCCGTCAATGAAATGCAGTTGTTTTTTAATGAGACATCACTGCGTTTTCTGCTGAGACAGTTCCCCCCAAACTGGGTAATTTTATGAACCTTAACAGGTTTCACAGTTTTTATTTTGGGGTTTTCGGTCCTTTTTTGGCCAATTACAATTTGTTGGTGTGAAATCACAGCAGGTGAAATAAGGCTAGATATTTTTGTCTGTTTTTATAGATGATACTTAACACACACATATAGTTAGGATTATTGATTTGACTGGGTATTAGCAATTCATGTTATAGGTCTGTCCAAAAAAAATAGACTTTTGGCTAGACTGCAGAGGCGAGGCCAACCTTATAAACCTGAAGGTCTGTCCATGAGTTAATTGAGTGTAGTGAGTGAGTGAGTGATTAAGCGATACCATTGGTCAGAGTAAGTAATGAAGTGTTGGTGTTTCCCCATTAGTCGTTGCTCTGACGCTGACAGTACCACGTAGCATAATAGCATAGTGAAATTAGCAAGCTAACAGGCTAACTAGCCAGCCACCTGGGCGGAGGAAAGAGAGGATCCCTTCATCTATTTGTTTGAGGAACAGCTGTGTCTATATGACACAAACCTTACATTTATTTAGACGTTATTTACGTTTACATGTGACAGTGTCAGAACTAGTTCCATCACCGTTATGGGGAGAAGGTGGAAACAAGAGACTGATTGAAATTTAAGTGAATATTACATGTTAGAATGTTGGAACAGGTACTGCCACAATAACAAAATGTTCCCTTTGGTAATTGGCATTGATAGGAAGTATTACAAACCATCTTTATAGGCAGAACTTGGCTTTGATAGTAGCCGATGGCTGTGCAGCCTTCACCAGTCATCCTGGGAGCTACATCAGCAGCTGAAGCTGAAGAGGGTAGAGGAGGGTTGTGTACAGCTTCAGAGAAAGCAGGTCCCTTTTGCTGTGTGACTGTGTCTAAGTGTACTGTTCTTCATTTTAACATGTATTTACATGAGTTTTTTTTGATTGGACTGCAACAACAGGGACAGCTCCCTGTTGTTAATGAAAAGTCCAGAAACAGTTTCAGATGCACATTACATTTATTCTACTGAACAAGACATGCTTAGGGAGACACCAGGCAGCAGGTGCCTCAGAAACTGATCTTTTTTGAGGAAACTTCACTCTCCATCAAGTCCTCTCTGAAACAAAAAAAGAAAATATAGGATAAATTGTAAGATGTGTTTCTGATTGAATAGTATTATTTCAGTCCCTGTGTCATAAGGGATTGCACCAATATCACCTATACTATTTGTCCTTTAGGCCCCTCAGAGTAGTATTCTAAATGTAGTAATAATATCCAATGCCCTGCTGAAAAACAACTGCCAAATAACGATGACCAGCGTCTTGTTGTTGTACAGCTTGTGAACAAGATTTTTGGCACTGCGCGGTGACATTTTTTCTGTCAAGGGAACTTGCAAAGTATCAGATTTTTTCCAATTTTCGAATGTATGGGCTAGGAATGTATGATAAATTGTTGGCTGATAATGGGACATTTCTATAATTATGCATTATTCCGATTATTAAAATTATAGCTGATAAATAGCGCCAATCACATGAGGCCAGACTGTTTTCATTGACTTAACAAGGCCAGCATCTACAAGTCTGACTCAGTGGATGGTAGTAAATGTACCTTTAAACTCTGGCTACGTGTGTGTGTGTGTGTGTGTGTGTGTGTGTGTGTGTGTGTGAGACATAGTTGTGTGTTTACCTACATTCAGTTTTAATGTGTGAGGTGAATAGATAGCGCATCGCTATTCTACTTGGTGGTTGGTTAGTCTGTCGTGGGTTGGTGGGATGACACCAGGGTGTGTTTATAAAAATGCAGCGCGATGATATAAACATTTCATACACCAGATGTAAGGCGGACCTGCTGACGCACATTCAACCTGTTCACATGAATCAGCTGTCATTGTTTCTGTTAGTAGAGACTCCACTCTGCAGTGTAGTTTATACACTTTACTGAGAATTACAAAGTAACACTGGGCTTCATAATCTGTCTCTCTCTCACTGTTAACTATAAATTTGATACTGATTAAAAGTCATTTTACTTGAACATCCTTGTATTTATTATGTTCATCTGTAGTGTGGGAATATATGGGGGCAGGGGCTTTGAAGGTAGGCTATTTGACAATACCCCAGAAAATCTCCCTCTTTTTCACAGCCTAATGTTGACAGGTAGTGAAGAGTCACAACTGTTCTTTGTTTTTCTGTTTCTTGTCAGGGCTATGGAATATTAAATCATCCATACTTTCTCACTACATCTTAGCCTTTCTTATCCGCAGGTGTACATTAACTACAGATTATACACTTCTTTTTAAAAACAAAAATGTGGAATTATTGGTTATCGTATTGGTTATTGGCCATGAGAAGCAGGTAATTATCAGTTATTGGTATCAGTTGAAAAAATTCATATTGGTGCACCTCTAGTATCAATCAATCAATCAATTTTATTTATAAAGCCCAATATCACAAATCACAATTTGCCTCACAGGGCTTTACAGCATACGACATCCCTCTGTCCTTATGACCCTCGCAGCTAGTAGGTGCAATATGTGTATACTGACCTTTAACCCCACCTCACGGGTCTTGGCACGTAGCTTGTTGACCTGAGACTCGGCGATGTCAGCCCTCTCTTCGGCTTCATCAAGCTCATGTTGAATCTTGCGATACTTGGTTAGATTATTGTTGGCCTGTTCCTCCTGAAGAACAAACACAACATGTATGGTACTTATAATATATGCTCACATAATATATAGTTTCACTGGTAAGATCTTAGTTTTGCATTTAAATCTTACTTACAGCCTCTTCCGAAGCCCTCTTATAGGATTTGACCTTAAGCTGCAGCTTGTCCACCAAATCTTGAAGACGTACTAGATTTTTTCGGTCTTCTTCTGACTAAATTGTGCAAAAAAAAAAGTAAATAATAATATGTACATATTGATTCTGAATATAATATCCAAAGCATAAACAGGCTTTGTTCCAGATTCAAAGTTACCTGATAGGTAATCTCCTTGATACGTCTTTCATACTTTTTCACTCCCTTGTAAGCCTCACTGGCCTTTTTTTGTTCATTTTCCACCTCATTTTCAAGTTCCTTGACCTGTAGAATGTTGTC